TACTGGGCGCAAATTTCCTTGTTATTATAATCTTAGGTGCAAATTTCTAAATTGCTATCAAAATTTAGTCAGGAGCAAATTACCAGGTGCCGAAAATTTTGTTCAGAGGTGACGCACCGTAAGGCTGCAATGCGCGCACCTCGCGTCTGTTGTGAAAAAGGACGACGAAACTCTCAGCCGGGGGCCAGAATCGAACCCAGCGTACGACGCGGCACCGTAAGCGGACGGTCCCCCAACTGCATCACGCCGTTCCCCCGCAAACTGAGGCGAGGGGCAACCGCCGGACATGTGAGCTCCTCCCGGCAAGCTCCAAGGCATTCCGCGTGTCTGTTTCATTAATGGGCAGCCCCGGGCGCTCTGTGTTCGGGGCGGGCAGTGTTTCGGGACAGTGTTTCAGCAGGCGGTGTCGGACACTGACGGGTGCGGCGCATCACATGCCTCACCCTTGACGCTGCAGTGTTTGCCGTGGCATCCGGCGCCTCATCTCTACTGGTGGCCAGGGCAGTACACGGCGTGGGGTCGTCCTGCATAGCCATAGCAGGTAATGCACTAAGGGCCCATTACCTACCTACCGTACCTACTTGTACGTATTGTCCCTTGTGTCTCGTACAGAGCCGAAGCTATGACAAATGCAATCTGGGTGATCCTTCATGTAGCCCTTTCAGTCCATCAGTCATGTTAAGAATATTTCTGCATAACCACCATGAATATTACGCCAGCGAATCATCTCACATAGCCGTGGTAGGTCGTGTCCTGGGGTCCTGAGGTCAGCTTGCAGGGCAATGACAGGCAATGCCTAAAAATTGTTTGAAATCTACATACGGTATCTTTGATGGCTTGATGTCCCGAAAAAAGAAAACGAGTCTTCCTGCACGTTGAGTTATAGCACGTACATTGGTGCGGCTCGGCTACGGTAATGTGGTTAAAGATCACAAACATGCATGCCACTCATCCCCGCTCGCTGTGGGTTTGTGACTGTTGATATGCTTAGTCAGAATCCACCATGCTGCCACGTCTGCTATGAAAATTATAATGGTTTCTGTCAAAAGACCTTACAGATGGCGGGAAGGAAAGTTCGGCTCAAGATCCAGAGCTCACCGATATCGTCTGGCGACTTTCAAAACAGACTGATCTTTTAGCATTGTTAAGAATTCATCAGCTAGTGTCTTCTCGTGATTTATTTCGAGTGTACTTGCAAAGAAGGTGTTGGGTTCAAACTCTGAACTCGGGGTTAAGACTCTGAACCCAACACCACCTGCACAGTGGGCGTTCTGGGCTTCAGAACACTTGCTTAGTACGACTTGCTGAGCCCATCCTAAAGCTTCCACTCAGATTGTGACATTCTAGTTCACCAGATAGCTTTGACCCTGCCTTTTCGACGGACAGGACCGCGCGGGGTTGTGGGTGCCACACAATGCTGCGGCCCCGGGGCAGGGTGACCCTCCTCTGGCCAGGCTTCAGCTGAGCTTTCCATGTCACGCAGGCCAAACGATGCCCGCGTCCAGGAGCTCGTATCCATCGCCGTTTGACCACGAGGTCAGAATCTGATGCGTCTATCACGGAGGCCGCAAACTACCTTATGTCTATTTGTTTATTTGTTTATTTTTCTTTTATCGCCAATAGCGCTGCACTCCAACAGGCGATGCCATTTAAATAAAATACAGTAAATGCACAACACACAGTAGGATGAGCATTATTCAGGGAAAACATCTCAGAGCTAAGTAAAGCTGCTACAGAGTTTAAGCATACCGAAGTCTAAAATGCCAAAACTGTGATTAAAAACACCTGTGCTAGTGTTGCTCGCTAAGAAAGCGCTTCTAGTGCTTGGCGGTCTGAAAAAACGGACCGCTCGGTACTCTTTGCAAACGAGCGCGAGGTGCAGCGAGCAGAGTTTGAGTGCGGGTCGACTGAAGCAGCACAAGCAAGGGGAAGCAGCTTAGCAACAGTTGAGAGCCCAGTTTACCTTGGAAGATGTTCCTCAGAAAGAGTAACCCGTGCAGCAATCTTCGTGCTGCTGGGATGGGATTTTGAAATGAAGCGGAAAGCTGTCATAAAAAGAAGCTGTTTGCTCGGAGAATGTGTGAGTAAGTAACCAAATAAGAAACTTGTGCTGCACTCAACCAACCCACACTGTGTGGGAATTGCTCGCCCACGCCCAAATCACGCTGCAATATTCTGAAACTGATCGCACGTTTGTAAAAATACGCAGTCATCACAGCGCTTCAGATGAATTCTAATCAACTGGTACCGACTTGGAAGGACAAAATAAAGAGACCAAGTGCTCGATTGCCACGATTGACTACGTCAAATATGTGCAGCGAAGATTAGTTTGGTATCCAGCGTTGCGTGAAGGTCCCTATTTTAAACGCATGTTCAAGCTCAGTTCTATTCATATGATACATGTTCTGGATGGGAGCACGCCTGAGGGTCATCGTGAAAGTTTTACATTGTTTAGGGTTAAGGGTCGGCCCTCACCTGACTGACCACGCTACCAGATAATCGGGATCATTTGCAGCAGCAGTCCGTCAGCCGGGACGTAATTTTGCGGACTTTTTCACGTCATCGGCATACAAAAGACAGTCAGAATAACAGTAAAAAAGAGGGAGTCATGAGTGATCCTTCCGGGACGCCGGAGGCCAACGGTTTCCAATCAGAAGTTTTCTTTTTCGTTGACGATCACGCTCTGACGTCTGTAGGACAGATACAAGATCAGCCTTCGCAGTGCAGATTCCCTTAAGTGGCATCAATGCTTCGACCTGTGGTTCAGAAGCCCGTCATTAGCGCTCTGAAAAAGCAGCCGAATAATCAGTGTAAATGGCATCCGTCTGGTATCTCCTCGACATGGCCTCCCACGCCAATTTCAGGTAAACACAAAAGTTAGCGCCGTACGAACGCTTAGGAATAAAACCATGCTGATGATGATGGCATAACACCGGGGATACTTGGCGGAACAGCTTGTCATGTGGAATTCGTTCCAGTATCTTTCCGAAGAGAGGAAGCAGATATTATATATATATATATATATATATATATATATATATATATTCTTCTGTAATTTGCCGGCTCCTCCCTATCTCCTTTCTTAAAACTTGATATGACGTTTGCCTGCTTCCGCCTAGCCGGGAAGACATCTGAACTTACCAAGAGGTCACAAATCTTGGTGAGCAGAGCGACTAACTCGTCAGCGCACTTAGTGAGTTTGCGGGCGCTGATATCGTTAGTCCGCAGGCCTTGTTGGGACCGACCGCAGAAATTGCGAATCGCACGGCTGCCTCAGAAACTCAGTTGGCTCAGTGACTCGACTGGGCAACACGGCGCAGCTGGAGGGAGATGCACACGGATATAAGCAAATTTTAGAGCAAAGGCGTCATTCAACGCGGCAGCGCGAGCCATGTTATCCGACACGAGAGTCTGCTTAGAGTTATACGAGACTGGTAATGTGCATGACTTCTTCGGGACACATATTTAAACAACCAGTACAGCTTAGGGTTGGTATTGAAATCTTCGGTGACTCTATATAAATTTTGAGCGTACTTTGGACACGGACTTAAAAGCGTGTCTCCTGTCCGCAAACTCAGCCGCGGTCACCGCGCCGGAGTTTCTCCGCAGACGTCGGAAAGCTGCCTCCTTCAGCCAGGGAGCAGCTCGCACCGCGCCGCCTAACGAGGGGTCAGTCGGCGCCGGAGGATCACGATGGGGACGTGGTTGGCGATGCCCATCTCAAGCTGTGTGTAAGAGGTGTCCACCGTTTGGCCCAGCCCCCACTGGATCCGGGAGAGACTTAGGCGCATACCGCCGAAGTCAGCCCTCTTGTAGTTGCACGCAGCGTGCCGATGTACCACAGGCGGACTGCTTACCGGCACATTGAGAACGAAAATGAGTGAGACGCTCTCCGCAGGTCGAGAACGACGCCGCCGGCCGCCGGTGTCCAGTGTATTTCAGGCAGGTTGAAATCTCCGATGGCGACGGCTCTGAAATTCATTTGCGATTGTCAATTGCGATTGCGGACAAGATCATGTGAATAGCAAGTACGCAATGCCTGTGCTTACTAAGGATGTCTTAGGCATTGAAGATGGGATTGTCAGACCTTAGCCTTCAGAGCTTAAAGGAGCATGTGAAGCAAACACGAGCTGTCAATGAGCGCTGAAAAAGGGTCATTCATGGGTCCAGTCATAAGCAGCTTGCTGTACTTGGCATTGGGAGCAGGGTCCTTTTATACGGCTGATTATTGAAAGTAGGTTTCTGTTACATGAATTCATACAGGCTACCTGCTGTCTTATGACACAGTGATGCACAAGATGTGTGCAGCTGTCTTATCCAAATGATGTCAATTTTAGATAATAATTATTGCGCAATGCTAGGCTGTTTTGTTAGCATTTATTGCACATCACAATGTTTTCAACCAGGGTAGGCGATGATACTACCCATATCTCACCTTGAAAGTGCCTGCAATGCAACTTGCATACACATAGAATGCATAGTATTCATAACAAGTAACAGCCACTCAAATTTCTCAACTCGAATCTACTTTGACGTTCTTGCAAAGGAAGCTCCTTGACCAGGCGGTTTTGCCTTATCTTCCGGTCTTGGCATGCCCACCCAAGGCTTCTTGCCTGAAAGGCTGGAACCCTCACTATTACTTGCTCGCACTCAGGTTGTATGCTCTGTTGTGCCTTCTGCGGCTGTTGCATGCTGTTTAGGCTTCCTTTTTCAGCAATTTGTCTTTCAATAAGAAGCACTCCTAAGTTCAGTTTTATAATCTACGGCGCAAATTCTTGCGTTAGTTGCATTACCAAATTCATCATGGACTTATCAAAATTAAGCTTTGTCGTACATTTGTTCTTGGCTTTGAGAAACTCATGCAATATTTTTTGGCGTATATTTGGGTCATAGATTGTACATTATCTGTGCATTTTTGGAGTGTCGTACATTGTAATTGTATATTTTTGCTTTGAGAAACTGGATTATACGATTATACGCCAAAAATGTACAGTTCACGCCAAAAACATATGAATTGCACACATCACACAGAACCAAAGTGGGCCATGCCAGAAGTTCGGCCGCTTTGCTCTATGAAGAATATCAAAACTTTCTGATCAGAGGAAATGTCTTGCTTGTTGCAGCTGACATGACGACTTGTCACTGATGATAATGATTGATGTTTGATAACCTGATTTCCGGGCTAATTAGTTTAACGTGTTGGCACAACGTGTAGAATGTCTGTACTAGCCTGTGATACAAACTAATGGCTCCTTCTTTTTACGAAGCTTAAACGATATGAAAATCCCGTGTCATGTTTGCGATGCTAGTTTGTCGAAAAAAATTTCCAAAAATAACTTTGACAGCCTCGTCACGTTTTAAATTGAAGGTAACTTTCGTTTCTGGGATAAGTGATGTGAGATATGTGATATAGTTTCGACGCAATCAACAGGTCAATCAAAAGTTACGCGTCAGCAGCGGCCATTCGCTTGTTGGAGGCAGTGGCGCTGCATGGTGGTCAAATGACGCAAACGGATACTTGCACGAATGATAACGAATTTC